TACTTATGATACATGTAATGAAAAGATGACGTTCCATGCAAAGATTCATACCTTCCCGTCTTGCAAGACTCTCAGAACATCAGCACGGTCCCAGAGTCTACTATGTGTGCCAGTCAGATCAATTTGTCTTCCCATGTCTCTAAGTTGATCATGCATCCAAAAAGTACCATCCTCCAGTACCTTGATGAGTGACCTATCTAAGAGGACAGTGATTGCAATCTCAGCACTGAAGCCACAGCCTTTCATTACATCAATTATATCATCTCTCTTCATTTCCAGATTAAGAAACAAACATGCAATATCGAGAAATATACATTTCTCTTGCTCATCTAACCCATCAAAACTGATCTTTAAGACACCTTGAAGATTGTTAGGTCGGACCAGCTTCAGTTTCTGTATCGCATCTTTCCATTCCTCCTCTCTCCTCTTATCATATAGCAGAGAACCAAATACTTCCAGAGCTAAAGGTAGTCCATCAGTAAGAATCACAATTTGCTTGGACATGTTAAAACAAATTTCTGTGGAGGGTTTCTCTCTTCTGAATGCATGGTAACTAAAGAGTTTCAAAGAATCATCGAAACCCAATTGCTTCACCTCATATATCTCATTCACAAGAGGCATCGACAAAACTTTTACATCCCTTGTACTAATGATAATTCGACTCCCTTCGTAAATCCACTCTCTCCTGCCAACTAGAGCATCAAGTTGGCTTGTATCATCAACATCATCTAAAACAAGAAGAATTCGACTACTATGAAGTATCGTTTTAATTGCTACCATACCAGTATCATCATTTTCTGGCAGTGAAACTCCCACCGAAAGATCACCAATAAGTTTTTTCTGAAGTGACAATAAACCATTTTCCTTTGCACAACTTTCCCTAACATTTGCAATGAAAATGCGGCGTTCAAAGTGACTAACAAGTTTATTGTAGAGAGCCTTGGCAAGGGTTGTCTTACCAATCCCGCCCATTCCATGAAACCCCAACACTTGGATGCCATTGCGTTTAACATCTAACAATTGCATAAGTTCCTGTATACGAAAATTGAGTCCAACAGTAAATGGAGCCACAACTACGGGAGTATTGCTCAATTCAACCAAAACCCTTTTCACCAATTGTTCAATCAACTGAGGCTCGTCACTGGCAAAAAAAACTGTCATTAGTACGTACTAATTACAAAGACGCCATATGAATAGGAGGAAGACTAGGGTACCGAAGGAGGTACAATACCAAAAATGAGTTACAACTTTACTTTTAAAAAGATTAGTTATAGCTTTTTGGATGTAAGTAACAACTATAAAGAATATGATCAATCACAAATATCATGACAAATGTCAAGTTACACCAAGGTCAAATTACAATTGACTCGAATTATTTATAGTCGATCACAACATTTTACGATCGGTCATGAATAATCTCAACAAGTTACAAATTTATAAACTTGACCATTAAAGAGAATACTTTCGCTTCAATACCAAAATTCTTTTGCAATATCATAATGCTATCCCATGTATTATAATGAAATTCTAAAGATTGAATGGCATAAAGAATTTTTTTTTTGATTAAAAAAACTCACAAAGGGCAAAGTTCAATAAAATGTCTACAATATCAATTGTCAACTAGAATGCTAACAATCATGATATAATGTTTACAATATCAATTGTCAACTAGCATGTTAACAATCATAATTAATGTTGAGAGTAGATTTTGTGTAACTTACAAGAAAATGATACTCCGATTAGAATATTCACCCAATTATGGGGAAGTCAAGAGAATTAACAAATCCAACAAGAACAACTAGGGACTTAAAAATACCAGTTATTAATAAACAAATAGGAACTACCTTCAAAGTTTCATAAGGCAACTAAACTTATATAAAGAACTAAAGATTCCATTACAGTATCTAACATAGTTTATTGCAAATCCCATATTTAATTCCTCTTCCTCTTGAATATACTAACCTTAGCACTAAAGGACACACTTTAACCTCTTTAACAATATCAAATATAAAACGTCAGCCATAAAAGTCTAATTTCACAATCCTCATGAATGCAGCCTCCAGTCTTCCGAACCACGTAACATAGACTACCATTTCCTTCAATAACAACTTAAGAGCTCATAATTCATTTACCCAACTAGACATTTCCTCAACAATTTGGGGTCGGTCATATGAATCTTTTTTTTAACTATTTTGTCATGTTAAAGGCTACCTGTGGAGTTAAATTTACAAGCACTTACATCCTTTTCAAGTCATTTGAAGTAAAAATGTCTATCAAAAATCCAGATTAAGATTTTCAATAAATCTTAATACATGAATTAGAGTTAACTCTGATTTCTCTTTCTAAACTGGATTAATAATCAGGATTAAGATGCTTCTAAGAACAAAATATGCTTATCTCCCCCAAAAACGAAACATGACATCAAAATCAGGCTAGAATTCAATAATTCTATATGCATCTGAATTGCTGACTTAACCCGTACCAATTCAATATTAAGACTCGCTTTCAATTTAAAGGTTGTGATTAGTTTATGAATCAAGAAACCAGAATTTTTAAGGCATAAAACAGGGTTTCAAGAGTTTTTCTTTGTGATGTTTAATCGGACTAGACATTGTAGGGTTTGAGCTGAGATAGAAGAAAGTGTTTGTTACCAGCCGGTGCGGAAAACCCAACCGGAAATTCCACCGACTTCTGCCATAGCATTTCTCCATCTCAACACCTTTTCCACTCCAAACCTTCTCTCCAGTGTTTGAAAATCCTCTTCGAACGGTCCTTTCTGTCTCCGAACATCGCTCGGGTCGACTCGGTAGAAAACGGGAAGAACGAGTCGTTTAAACTCGCAGATCGTAGCGAGTTCTTCGAGGCACCACCTGGAGGAAGCGTAGCTGGGGGAGATGATGGCGATCGAAGCCGCCGAGTCTTCGATCGCGTTGAGAAGCGTTGGAGTGAGCGAGTCGCCCTGTTTCAACCCGTCGTTGTCGCGGAAGACTCGGACGTCTTTTCGATATAGCGCTTTGTAGAGCTGGTCAGTGAAAGTATCGCGAGTGTCTTCACCTCTGAAGTTCAGAAACACGTCCCACCGGAGTCTGGACGCCGGTTTCCTGGATGAAACGTCGCCGTTTTCCGACATCTCTGTTGCTGGATCAGTATCGTCGAAGGTTTATGTGATCGATTGTACGTACCAACCCACTTGCACTCTGAGAGAATCCACTAACTTCTGGTCTAAAAAGAGAGAGAGAGAGAGAGATGTGGAACCTGATTCGTCGCTGAAACTGTACGCTTATGTGAAATAGTAAACAGTACATTACATGCATAGTCAAAGATGAGGGGAGAGAGAGAGAGAGAGTGGCGTCACACTTGTGTATGCTAAATTATGTTATTTTTCAAACATTACCCTCTAATTATAAGGTTTTTTACATTCCACCCTAAGTTATTGGTATGATCACAACAATCCACCTGGAATGGTCGTCTTTTCAGCTTTGTTCTAGTGGTGATGTTTCAGATTGTGTCTAGGGCTTTGTAGCTTCACCAACCACCACCATTGGGTGGACAATTGAGTTGGGTATAGAGTTTGAATATTTAACTTTTTTTTTTACTCTCTATAAAACAAGATCATTCAGAAAGTCAAGATTCATCTTTGCAAGAATAAAACTTGAATAATTAGCAATTATCCGCACAAACCACAATTATCATTTATGTTCAAGAAATATCTATAAGAGTCAAATTTCTGTATGTTCGAATCTATTGTTCGTCCAAATCCAATCCCTCACCGTTAGGCGACCAGTGCTGATTTGAGCTTCTCAACTTTGTTATGAACCTTTTGAGTACTTTGTTCCCGCATGATTTGTTTACAAGCTTATTGCAACTGTTAATTGTGGGGAGTCTCTATGTGATTGCCAGTTACGTTTTTCTCAAGCATAAAAATCCCTCCTAGAATTCTTTTTGCCCAACGGAGAAGAATAATATTATAATTGGTTGATACGTTACCAAAAACTGTACCATTGTCTTGCCCTTCTTTCTTCCAAATGTTCCACAAAGCACAACTGCTTTTCATTGTCGCTGTAACGTACTAACTCTCCTGCCTAACAGCCTCCTGCATTTAGACCAGCAGGTAGGCAATTACCCTATAAGGAGCCATAAGCGAAACAATCTATTATGCAATCTAGCACAAGTTGGGAGGATTTTTATTTTTTTTTATATGGGTAGATTGGTAATATATTGATTAAATCGGCCCAAGGCATACCCACTCGCTACACTAGAATATTCTAATAATGAAAATGTGTCAACATAAACTAAGTCTACTGGTTTGAAGATATGATATTAGAACGCGAGAGATCACGTAAAACGGATATTCTTCCCTCATCTCCAGTGGCAAATTCCTATGCCTAAAAATAGTTCAAATCTACAAGGCATGTAGCATAAAGCTGACCTCACATTTCCATAGGCTAGACATAAATAGTAGAAGCCACCTTAAAAGGCACCTTACCATGCCAAATATCTCACTCCAAAGCAACCAATCAGCTCTCTGATCTCCTGCATGTGTCCTTCAGCTTCTTTTAAATTTTTTTGGTAACAGTTCTTCAATTTCATGACTTGAATCCGAGGTATGATTGCTTGCTTCAGAGGATCTGATAAACCTTGTTAATTTTTCTGATACAGATTGTCGGCTTTCATCCAATATTTCTTCATCTCCATCATAGTCATCATCATTTTCGAAAACCAAATGAATCCCAAACTTCTTGAGCTCAACCCCCTTAACAAATGGAGGGTTCCTCAATGCTACCCTTATCGTGTCGCCATCTTTCAATATCGAAACCAATGGATGATGATCTTCATATCTACAAAAATAAACTTGATCTTCATGTGTCTTTGGAACTCTTGCCAAGTGCATTGCCATACTGTACACTGGTTCATTCAATCTGAGGATTGTTGCAACAGCATCTGGTATGACAGGGAGTTGATCTCTCAAATCGTCAGTTATTTGATGGTTGACAGACACAACAACGCCTATAATAACGCCTTTAATCGCATAGTTTTTGCGTGCTGAGAAACAAACCACCCCTTGAGCAAACCAGTCAGGTATTTCACTTCCAGGGATACTTAACTCGTACATGTTCTTTATAGCGACCTGTAATCAGAAGCACCCAAAAATTAAGGAAAACTTCGGACAAAACTACACATACACATGAGAGAGGCATAAGTCATATAAAAGAGACCTATGTGTCGACAATAGGATTGCACATTCAAAGGTAATTAGCCTGAAACTGCATCCTCTAGTCTGATTGAAAGTATTCACATGAGTGCATGCACACACATTCAAGCACATACACAGAGAGAGAGAGGGAGAGAGAGAGTACTTTATCAAGTTTTTTCTTCACAACAGAAGCACATGAATTGCAGCCAACCATGTGCAAGATTCTCAAGGACTTCAAGCATTCCAGGCCCGGAATGTCCTCCAAGTTCTCACAGTTCGCAAGGTGCAGGTCTCGTAAACTCTCCAAATCAGACAGGTTTGATATACTTTCCAATGCTGTACAGTTTGCTGCATCTACCTCCACCAAACTTGGAGGAAGCGGAGGAATAAATTTGAGCTGTTTGCAGTGGGACAGAAAAATCTTTTTGAGGACAGAGAGTCCTCTCAGACTTGATGGAAGTCTGCAAAAATAATTGTGAGATAGATTCAAAATTTCTAAGGACGACAACTTCTCAAAATCATCTGCTATATTCCCAGATATTTTCCATGCACGAGCATCGAATTCTATTAGCAAGGAAAGATTTGAAAAAGAAGACGGAAGCACAATGCATTTAGATTTCTTTTCTGCACCAAGATCTTTTTGTTCTGTTGTTTCAGCATTCTGAGGCACTGCAGGATAAGGCTTCTTTGCCATTTTCAATACCATCAAGTATGAGAGCATCCCAAAATTTTCAGGTAATTCGGTTACAGAAGTCTCCTCCATTAGCAAGTGGTGCAAAAATTTCAATTTCCCGAATGAAGCTGGCAGTTTGTAAAGTTGTGTACATTTGTTCAACCTTAACATGATGAGGTTTTCCAACATCCCAATAGATTCAGGAAGTTCAGTTATGGCAGCATTCACTATGATCAATGTATTAAGAGCCAACAACTTCCCAATAGATTCCGGAAGTGATCTCAGAAATTTACAATTTCTCATCTCAAGCTTTTTAAGTGATTTCAAGCCACCAATCTGATCTGGAAGATCTATGATTGATGTCCCGTCTAACTGAAGCTCAACCATGGAATGGAGCCCTTCAATGGAAGCAGGCAATGTGCTCACATTACAACAACCTCCAACTAACAACTCCTTCAGATAACATATTGAACCGATAGAAGCTGGCATTTCTTTCACCGAACTACTATTAAGCCAAAATTTTGCCAATGATTTCAGCTTCCCAACCGAATCAGGTAGTACAGTAAGTGATCTACACCACATCAAACTTAGCGTCTCAAGCTCTCCCAACAAGCCAATACCATCGGGTACTTCCTCCAATGCAGAATTGTTAACTGAAAGTTCTCTCAAAGAAATCAACTTACCAATGCATGTGGGTAGTCGTTTTAATGATTGGCAATTATTTAGACCGAGCCTTTCAAGGTTTGCAAGCTTAAATATAGACTCAGGTAGCTTCTCTATGGCTGTTTCATCAAGGAGAAGTTCTCTTAAAGAACTCATGCTGCCCATATCCTGTGGTAGGGCTTTCAGATTTGAGCAACCGGAGAGGATAAGGTTCTCAAGACGTTTTAGGCCAGAGACGTCCCTTGGAAATTCAACAAGGCTGGAACATGCTCTCAGATTCAATTGGCGTAACATATTCAGGTCCTCACCAATTGACTTATGAATCCTAGCCAGGTTAACACAACCCTCAAGAATTAGCTTTTCCAGGGCAGGATGCCCAGATAAATCAGGAATAGCAGTTATGTTACAACAACCTCGGAGATTCATAACCATCATTTTCTCTGCCACCTGGAAAACAGTGAACTTTTCCACTCTTAGATTGTTATAATAGTAAAACAGAACCAGCTATTTGTTTCAGAGAATGTAAGCATCAAACCTAAGGAATTCAAGTCAGCTGTGTCATATATTAGTTAATTAAGTGAAGCGTACCTTGTTCCTGGACCAGCACCACCATCTCCTGCCCCAAACTCTTTCTATCTTGCTTTCTGAGAGATCAAGGACAGTTAGTTCCCGCGGACAAAAAACAGATGGAAGATTCTTCAAGGAACATCTCCGCCATTGTAGCCACTTCAGTTCAGCAGGAAGATGTTTAAAACTTCCTTTCATTTTCACATCACTCAATTGAAGCAGTCTTAGATTAACCATTGTTTCAAATGGTTTAGTGCAAAGCATCACTTCTCCCTCACTCTTGGCACCATGTTGAAAATATCCTTTATATATCTCCTTCAAGTAAGTTAGTGCAGAAACTAAAGTGGGTGATCTTTGGAAATTGTTCGTAGCAATTGCTTTAGCACTCTTAATCTTTGGGAAGTTCTTCTTTTCAAAGTCAAGAATGATCCCTTGAATGCTGCTTGTCCCCTAATTTCAATCATGTCGGCAAAGGATCAATAGACATAATAAAGTGATAAGCTGAAATTGTTCCCAGAAATTTAGAGCAAGCAGTTGGAAATTGAAAGATGCGACAGTAATCTAAGGATGATACTACAAGGCATGCAGACACATTGATGCTGGAGACCAGTTGGCGACTTTTATTTTGGTTCTTAATTCGTGGCTTTCTTCCTTTTCTGACCACAAATAAATGGGTGGAAACGCTAGTTGAAAGCTCCAGAGATAGGCAGTGATTCATTCTGATAATTAGTCATTGAAGTCTTTTCGAACGCTTTGGCAGGCCCAACGAAAGGAAAGAGAAATGAATTCCTTCCGATTGAAAGTCCATTAACTAACAACAACTAACACTTCTGGCTGAAATGTTGCTTTTTGAAAAGAGACAAAAAACTTCCATCTTTTTCCGGACTATTGGGATTGGGGACAGGGATTTTTATTGAGACGAGTTGTCCTTGTATGTTTCTTCCTATCTGTGCTTTTATGCTTCCCAACAAATGTAATAGAATGTCAACAACAGAAGCCAGAGTGGACCATTTCTTCTAGTAATTCTCCTAAT